TATAAATAATGGCTACATAAATTAAATTTTTAATTTTTAGTCAAATATAAAATTTTAAAATTATTTTCACATGATTAGAATACTCGATAAAAAAATTCGATAAAAGCACTTTTAAAGGTCATTTTCTTTTATTTAACTGCGCCTTTCCTTTTTGATTAATAAATGAATGTCATGTGAGAAGGTTATAATGAAGAAGAATAAAAACAAATTAAATAAAATTAAACTTCAACTAAAAATTCTGACATTTTCAAAAATATTTCATTAACTCTTTCAGATAAATACATCTTTTTTGTTAGCTTGTAGAAAAATTTTTTTGGTATTAGTAGAGAATTGGACTTTTAAATTTTTGTTTAATTCATATTTCAAGGCAGTGAACAAAACACCTTCCTCATTAAATTATAGCATTTAATTGAAGGTTTTGTGGCTGATCCAGGGATGTATGAAACTCAAATTTTTTCAGGCAAAACAAAAGATTTATTTTCAATTTTCAAAAGCCACGTCAATTGGCCACAATTATTTCCCCATAATTTTTTAATTAGTTAACTTACTTGTTTATATTCAGATCCATTATATTTATTTAAAATAATTTCGAAATAAATTTTATTTAAATTAAATTCTTTATTTGAAGAATTACTTGAACTAGCAATTTCTGTTTTGTCTAAATTCAAAAAATTTTTAGGAATATTTTTAAATTTAAAAATATTTTCTTCAACAAAATATTCCCCACTAATATATTCAACACCAATTTCTTCATTAATTAATTTAATACTTTCAATTTGTTTATTTAAATTTAAATATTGAAAGACTATATCAGTTTTCCAATCATCATCAATTTTTAATTCAATTTCAAATGAAGCATTGGAGAATTTTAAAGAAAATAAAATTAATAAAAATAATAACATTATTCTTTATTTAAATTTTTATTTAATAAAAATATTTTTGAATGATTGTTAATTAATATAATGTCTAATTAATTGATTCAATGCACTTTTAAAGCCGCTTTATTTATTTTTTTATATATTTCCCCTCCCCCTTTTTAGAGGAATAATGTGAATTAAATATATGTATGTATTTAAAATATTTCTTCATTAAATATGTTGAAATAAATGTACTTTTAAATTAAAAATATTAATTTTTAAATAATAAATTAAAGATTAATTTTTGATAATTTTTAAAATATTCTTCAGAGAAAGCTTTATCATCTTTACTTTAAGTTAACTGATATTAAAAATTATCTTGTAACATTCAGCGTTTTTAGGATATTATTACACTCATAAAACAAACAGAACAGCATTCTCCTCAATTAAATTTACTTTTGTTTCCTAAATATTTTTTAAAAATATTGTTAAAATAGACAAAAATTAATAATTATTCTTTTGTTACTTACTCAATATATCTTCTTCACTTGAGGATATACATATTGAATTATATCCTCATTTGATATTTAATATATCCTCGATTGATTTAAATTATTTAACAATCTTTATTAATTATCATTAATTTAAATTGATTTAATTTATAGCCAAATAAAACTTTTAAAAAAATCAAAGAATTATTTTCTCTGTTTGTTTAGCTTTTATTTTTAAAAAGGGGAATATTAATTCTCATTTAATTTTTATTTAAGGTAATTTGCCTTTTAAAGTTTCCAAATAATTTTAGAAAAGCTTTTTTTAGGCGTGGCAATAATTATATGTATTTTCTATTAATGGATAAAATTTGGGTAATTTTTATTGTATATGACTTGAGAGAGAAAGACAATAATGAAAAGAATTGTTTTATCGGCACTTTTATTGTTGGCCTTTTTGTTAATTTTAAGAACAGAAATTGTTCCTATTTCAAATGAAAATGTAAATTTAAAATCAATTTTTAGTTTAATTTTTTAATTTTAAGTTTAAATTAATTGGAAAACAAAATAAAGAAATTGGAAATTCACCAAAATATTATTTAATAAAAACAAATCCAAAATTAAATAAAAACAATTTAAAAGAAAATGAAAATAAAAGAGTTAAAAGATCAGGTATTTTTTAAAATTTTTAAATTAAAAATAAAAAAAATAAATTAGGAAGGCCAACCAGATTAGGCAGAAATGGTGGGAAAATATCTAATCATGGAGGAGGACATTTAAATAGTGCAGGAGGAAATAATCATTTATCTTCAAATGGAAAAAATTCAAAATATCCAAATTCTGGATCTTCAAATGGCCATTTAAATAGTGCAGGACATCCTCATGGAATTCCAAGTCATTCAAATTCCAAACCTTCGAATTATGGGCAATTTAATAGTGCAAATGGACATTCAAATGGAGGAGGACATTCAAACAATAAATATAATGGAGGGTCTAATCATGGGGTAAATAGTGGATCTTCAAACTTTGGAAAGTCTAATAATGCAGCAAAACATTCAAATAGCGCAAGTGGACATTTAAATTCACCTTCAGGAAAACATTCAAATTATGGAAATTCTAATTCCCAGCAAAATTCAAATAGTAAACATAATCATGATGGGAATGGGGGAGTTAAAAGATTTGGAAGGACTGGAGGCGATACAGATGGAATGGCAAATGGAGGAAGAAAAGGGCGTAAAGAAGAAAATAGGTAAATTTTATACAAATTATAAATTTAAAAGAAAAATTAATTTTTTAAATCATTTACACAAGTAATTCGTATTCATCATAACCTGTCAAATTACTTTTAAATAATTTTATTTCAAATTTAGTGGATTTCAAAACAACAATAAACGCAATAGCAATTCAAAGAACAATATGGTTTTTTTAATTTTATTTAATACAGCTAGCTCTTATTTTTTTAAAGAATAATGGAATATTTGGACAAAATAGTGGGAAAGATAAAAATGAAAAACATAGTAATATAAATCCAGGAGATAATGGAATTGATAATAGAAAAGGCAGAAAAGGGCAATCAGAGGTGGATAATTATGGAAATGGACGAAATGATGGTTAATAATGCAAAACAAAATAATTTTATTTTGATATTATCTGCATTTATAAATTTTTTAGGCAAAACTGAGGGACATGTTGGACGAAATGATGAAGAATCAAGAAGGCATGATATTGATGGAGATAGTAAAAATTCAAATAATAAGTATGAACATAGTTATGGTCAATTTGATGAAGATGACGATAGCAATGAAGATTACAGTGGCGACGATGATGATGAGGAGGATGAAAGTAGTGACGACAGTGACGAAGGAAATGAAAGTGTAAGTGACAATAGCGATGAAGATGAAAATGAAGAAGACGATGATGAGGAGGATGATGTCGAGGAGGAAGAAAGTGGAGAAGATGATGAGGAAGACGAGGAAGATGAAAGTGAAGACGAAGATGATGAGGAGGACGACGAAGATGATGACAGCGATGAAGATGAAAGCGGAGACGACGATGATGAGGAAGATAAAAGTAGTGACGAGGATGAAGATGAGAGTGGAGAAGAAGATGACGAGGATGGAATGGTAATTGAGGATGAGTCTGATGAGGACAATAACAGCGATGACAACGATAGTGACGAAAGTAGTGAGGATGATGATGAAGAAAGCGAGGAAGACGAAGATGAAGAAGAATCGGATGATGATGAAGAAAGTGAGGAAGACGAAGATGAAGAAGAATCGGATGATGATGAAGAAAGTGAGGAAGATGAAGAAAGTGAAGAAGATGAGGAAGAAAGTGGAGAGAATGATGACGATGATCATACATCCGTGGAGAGGTGGGTCGAAATTCCTATTTCCTACAATTCCCGAGTTCCGAAATTTTTAAAAACTAATTTAAATTAAAACCTGAATTTTCAGTAGCGAAGAAAAGTCTGATTCTGGAGTAGTTATTGATTCATCTGAAGAAGAGGATGACCAGAATGATAGTAAGGATGCAAGTGGTGGTGAAGACGAAAATGATAATGTTGGTGAGGATTCTGAGGAAGAAGAGGAAAGTAATAATGATGAGGATTCTGAGGAAGAAGAGGATGATCATCATGAAGAGGAAGAAGAGGGATCTTCCTCAGCAGCAGAAGAAGAAAATAGTGAAACTGATGAAGATGAAGAAAATAGTGAGGAAAGTAGCGAAGAAGAGGAGGAAGAGGAGGGGGATAATGGTGGCAAAGAGGAAGAAGAGAGTAATGAAGTTTATGAAGATGCAAATGATGAAAATGAAAGCGAAGAAGAGGAATTTGAAGAAGCCCAAGAACAATTTGAAGAAGACGAGCAGGTTAAGTTATTATTAATTATTAAATTTAGTAATTAACTAAAAATTATCAACTAGAAAATATTTTTAAGGAAGATGATGAAAGAAAGTGTTTTGACGTTTCAAAAGACGAATGTAATCAACAAAAAGCATTTTGTGTAGATGAAGGTTATGAAAAGGATTTGATGGACCGTTGCCCTGTAGGATGCGGAATATGTAAAGGTATATTGTTGAATATACCTTCATTTTATACATAATTAATTTATAGAGGGAGAAAGAAAGCCAACATATGAAGAATATTACACGGCAAAAGGTTGTAAAAACTTGGAAGTGGAATTACATTGTGAAAATAATATTCATTGGTGTAGGGTAAAGGTAAGTAAACATAAGTACATTCAATTATTTTTAAAAATAATTTTAAATTAAAGGATTATATTCCTCTAATGATTAATAATTGTGCACTAATTTGCCGTTTTTGTCGAAGTTTTTTGGAAAATATAGAGAAAATGAAAATAATTTAAATTAATACTTTATACTTAAAATTTTATTTTTATCTATTAAAATTTATTTATAAATATCTGAAAAATTAATTATTAAAGAGGAATAAGCTGACATCGAAAATCGTTTACAAAAAGCCTAAGATAACTCAATCTCACCAAAACCTACATTATATCTATTTACATTCACTTTAGTTTATTACCAGCTGCTTTATATTTAGTAGGATATATTGATTTATTGTTTTTGTTTCCTCTTGAATCAATTATTTTAAATAAATTCTCTATTGTTTTTAATTCTTAAAAAATAATTAAAAATGCACATTTATCGTAGTCAATCTGCCCTAAATATTCCTTTTGGACCTGGCATTACCCGAACATATTCAAAACCCTCATTTGCAACTTATATGTGTAGGTAACTCTCAAAACAATTTTTTAAAACCTTCAAAATAAATTTTAAGTGGAGGCCATTGGCCAAGCACTACACCTTGTTGGCCGTATGCCTTCTCTTATTATTACCCCCTTTCGAGTTCGTATTTTTACTATTACAAGCCTTGGAGGTTGAATTATAATGCATATCGCTATTACCGAACATTGGTGTGATTTTTATTAAACAAAAATATTATTTTTAAAAAGGCTGATTCTAATTGGGAAGAACGTTTTCATTATTATACACCGCCACAAAGAATTGATAGAAATTATTTAAAAAATTGGGAATATCCAGAGGATAGACATAAACCTCTCTATATGAATTATTGGTTTGTTTGAAATTTTGTGGAGAAATAATTTTTCTCTTATTTTCAGTGAAAGCTAGAGGAGAACAAAAATGTTTAAAATAGTGTTTTACTTTCATACATGTGTTAATAAAATATAAAATTGTTATAGCATATTTTTAAAATTTAGACTATATAAATTCGAATATCCATACATGTTTGTAATTTAACATTTTAATTTTCTTTAAATTCTGAAATGTATGAAAAACACCCTTTAGTTCAAAATCTCCATTCACCATATCCTTGGTATACTCGTTGTTGGTACTCAAACAACTTCAAATACAGTCATTTCTATGGAGGAACAATAGAATACCCGTACAGTCGTTACCCTTTAAAGGATCTTTACAAAAGCCCTTGGTAAATTTAATGGAAAATTAAAAATATTTAAGTATTTTTTGTAAAGGTTGGATAGACCATATCATTACAATCAACAAACGGATTGGTATCGGTAAATATAAAAATAAAGGAGGTGATTTTTGGACAAACAAAAAGATTGTCAAATCATTTTATATAATAAATTTAAAAAATGATGATCACATAAAAACTGAAAGGCGGGAAGACTAACTAAAATCATGAAACTCAATTTAAAATTTTTTATCACAAAAATATTTATTTCAAAATTTAACAAAATGTCTAAATACGCATATTAAACAAGTCCTTGATTCCCTCAACTGACTTTCCACGAAGCATATCCCCAACTTTATTGCAAACAACTGTCATAAGTCCATCAATGCCGAGATAATTGGCTGCCTGAAATTTAAAAAAACAATGAATTTTTTGATTAAATTCTTTGAGAGGAGAAAAGACGAGGAGAAAAGCAGAAAAAATTGAAATTATTAAGACGTTATTCCAGAATAGGGTTGTTGGTTTCAACCATTACAGGTGCCAACTTAAGCAATAAAACTACAATAATAACCATAAACATTCACTCCTAAACATCTCAACCATTTTTGGAACTAAACTAGGTCGGGAATTCAATTTCCCATTAAAGCCCAATTTAAAGTTTGCATACCAAAATAATCTCAAAAAGAGTGCTCCGATCCATTTTAAGAAATTCATCATCCCAACTAGAAAACTCGCTATAGTTTTTGTTTGGTGGATCTAAAATTTAAAAATAAGTAAATAAAACTAAACTTCAAAAAACCATCTTTATGACGTTCACACCACTCAATGACTTTTCGAAGAATAACACCGTCTACATCAGCTAAAGGAACAGTTTCACTATTATCACTGCCTCCAGGTTCATCCATTCCAACATCTAAATATTATTTTGTTTTTAATTAAAGATTTTGTAAAAACCTTTAAAAATATCATTTAAAACACTAGAAAGACGAATAATCCCTCTATCTACTTCAAATTGTTCATTATCATTTGATACAAGCAATACTTTGTTGATGACCATTTTTAATTTGATTTAGTATAATCTAACAATAAAAAATATATATAAACACGTTTTTATGGAGGGAATGAAGAATAATCAGAAAGAGTTAACTGAAAAGTACGATAAAAATCGGAAGGAGATGAATGTATTTATTTACAAGACTTCACGCGCTCCACGTTTGGACGCCCGAGCTTAAATTTGTATACCCAGATTGTCTATTCCTCCATCCAACGGATCAGCTTGGTCGTTGATATTGGTCACTACAGAAATAAACTCTGGGCACATATAAAAGCCATGTTAGATTTTGACGGACCGAAATATCCAGTTAATTAAAATTCATTATAGAACTACCCCTCTACAATTATCTTTCGCTTAATTATATAATACCAAAGTATTTGTTTTAGAACAATTAGTACATCTAATTATTGATTAATAAAATGTTTATAAACTAATAAGTATAAATGCAAGTAAAAATGTGAGAATATAAAATTCTCGAGATTAATATCAAAATATTTTTCAACAGGTAATCTAAATCTTTAAATTATTTATTTATTGTCTTCTTCTCCTTCTTCATCACTACTAGTACTCCATATACTGTCTGATGTAATATTTATTGTTGTCGGTTGCCATTTTTGTTGTTTTTGTAATACTTTAAAGTCTGTCAAATTATTTAAAGTTGTTGCATTATTTCGTTTATTTTGAAGAACTTCACGTATCCTATGCAAAGAACGTGACCACATGTCAATCATTTTGTCGTTTATATTTCTTTTATTCTGAAAAACATAAAAAAAATATTTAATCTAAAAAAATTAAGAAATTAGGGGCATCCAAAGTTTTGATTTATTTTAAAAGTATTTCCGGAGTAAGGGTCCCAAATCTGGGGAATTTTTTGAAGTAAACCATTTTTGGCATATGGTTTATTTTTAATTTTTTGGAGGAATTTAAAAAATAAATAATTTACCAAAGATAGAGAAGCTTCTCTAAAATAATGTTCAGCCATTTCTAAAGATTTTTCTTTTTCGTGTTGAAGTAGATTTTTGTCTATAGTTATTTCATCAATAAAACGTGTGTAGATAAAATATAAATCAGTATAATTTTTGTTTAACTTCAATTTTTTAACAACACAAGGCAAAATAGAGATAACTTGGTCCATTGAAGGATTTGACTTTTTTGTTAAATTTGTTGAAGAAAATGAATGAAGAATTGAACGAAATGTTGAAAGTTTGTGTTGATTAAATTGCTGTAATTTTAATTGAGAAAATTAAAAAGGAGTTGTTATTATTAGAGATATAACCAAGAAGGGGTATTGATTAGAGATCGGCACGGGACGGGATTTTACGGGATCCCGTCCCGGAATCCCGGATTTTTAGCGGAAAACGGGATTACCCGGATTTACGGGATTAATCCCGCGGAATCCCGTCCAGTTCAAAATGGTGGAAAAAATACCGTTACGGGATCCCGGGAATGCGATATTACCGATCTCTAGTATTGATTAAGTCGCAATTATCTAGAGATTCTTATCAGAGAAAGTCCGTCTAATTGTTAGACAACAATAAACTTATTGTTAGAATGCAAAAAAGAGCCCCTCCCCCCGCCTTCCCAAAAATCTGAAAAAAGTGAGGAGTTAAGAAAGAATTACTTTGCACGATAAAATATATAAAAAATCTAAAGAAAAACCTCAAATTGAGCAAATAAAGTAAACAATTCAAAAGTTCTTCCAATATTTTCATCAACACATTCCAATAATTTTTTATTTAAAAATTCATTAAGAATCGAATTTAAACGGTCCACGTCAGCAGAAAATAATTGTTTAATTAACTAAAAATTATTTTTATTTTTTCTTAAACAAAAATAAAAAAACAAACCAATTTAAATGAATTTGAAATAAGATAACGACAATTAATTAGTTGTTTGTCAAAATAAATCCGGCAAAGTAAACAAAAAAGTGAAATTAATTGTTGATTATTCCAATGGGTAAAGTTGATGAAAATAAAACAATCAAAGAAAGAATAAATCTGAAAGAAAAATTTAAATTATAAAGGTATTGGAGAAGAAAGGAAATCATAGCTATGATATATCCCAATCACTAAAACATTTAAATGTTATGAGAGAAATGAATAAAAATTACCAGGAGCAAGAGATCTATGCTTCTTACCTGATAACTGAATCTCTCACATTAAAAATAAATTTATCGATTCATTCGAGACCGTAAAGAATGGAAGTATATGAGGAAGAATTGCTTTTTTATTTTTATAAAATTAAGGAAAAATTTAAGAGTTTTAAAGAACATTAAATCATGCGCAGAAAGACTTGTTTTTTTAAATAATAGCCCAATTAAATTAATTCCTCATAATTTTTATAAAAATTAAATTTCAACCTCCCCTACAAAATAATCAAAAAATACATACATTTTCATGTAAAATAGTCCAAATATCTTTAGCATTTTCTACAGGCTTTTCTTCTTCCATTAAAGTATACATATTTTCAATTAAATCATCCGAATAATCAATTTTTAAATTGCTAGGTTTTGTTTGAAAAACATAACAGAAAACAGTCAAAAAATTGTCAAAAGAAATCTAAAAAATTATTTTAATAAAATTTATTTAAAAAATTTATTTTTCAAACTTCAATTCCATCAGAAATAGCCAAAGAATGAAAACATTCAAGTAAAGCTGAACGAAGAGTTGAATTGAGCGACGAAAAGAAAATTAGTTGAAAACAATTATTTTTATATATTTTCGATACTCTACGAGCATTTTCTGGGTTTTTAATTGAAAAAACTAAAAAATAAAAAAATAATTTTTAAATTAAAATTTAAATAAAAACCTTTCCCAAAAGAGCCAACAATTTCGAAAGTAAAATAATTAAATTCAATAAACAATTCGTTGTCTGCATGAAGTCGTTTGACATGGTCAGAAGAGATTAGACAATCAATTTCACGTCCTAACTCGCCCAATCTTTAAAAAAATATTTTTATTTTCCTTTTTAAAAATAATGTAAAACAGGGTGGCCATTTTGCCTCATTTGGGAGACATTTGCACCCTTTTTGAACTTTTGTTGAAAAAGGAAATCTTTCTTGTGGACCTCAAAAAAGCAAAATTCTTCCAAAATTTTTAGGTTTTAAAATAATGCGACCTTTTTTGCCCCATTTTTGATCGATTTCGCCCCCTTCTTGGGAAGCCATACCTCCTATTGGTGATTTGGAAAGGGCCACCCTGATGTAAAGTTGAAAATTAATAATGTTTATCACTATTATCCCCATTAAAACAGAAAAAAGAACTTATTGGATTCCAATTACGGATTTACTGTGAGTCCTCAAAAAAGGAAAAAAAGTTTAAAAGAATCCCTACTTTTTGTCCTCTTCATTGTCAGAAGCCAACTCCTCCAAACTGTCAGGAATCAATTTTTCCGCGTCATTTCTCCTCCCAGCCTCAACAGTTTTAAAACATCTATCAATTTCAAGAAATTGTTCTGCCTCAAATTTTGCATTTTTTGCTTGTCTAGAATTTTCCTAAAAATTAAAAAAAATTTTTTTCTTAATTTAAAATTTAAATAAAAAACTTGTTGTTTAATATTTTCGTCAGAATTGTCACAATATGTTTGTCTTTTATTTTGACGAGTAATTCTACAATTAGAACTACTAGAGGATGGTTTTGAATCGACATAATTAAGAATTGAATTTTGATTTGAAGAATTTAAATTTTTGCGGTTGGCGGCAATTGTATTGGCTCTGGGCTTTGTTTTGTTAACTGAGGTAGTTTTTCGCATTTCAATAAACTAAAATTAATAAAGAAAGAATTTATGTCAAAAATAAAATTAAATTTGAAAGGAACAAAACGAGTTAAGGGGAGCAGGGATAAATCCAAAAGTTCAAAAACAAAAAGGTCTAACCCCAAAAGGTCAAAAACCAATTGATCAAATGACTTTAAGGTCAACTTCAGATACTGTATTTGGGTGATAAAGAAGGATTTGTGCCGATTTAGAGGGATTTGTGGGTATTAAGGGGGATATTGATGAGTAAAGCGAGACCGAGTTAACTAACAGGTGTCCGTGGGATTGTTCCTAGCAAGGAAACAATGCGTGTAAATGCCATTTTAATATTTTTAAAACATAAAAGATATTTTTTGGGACACATACATATTCTGATGGGACGCCTATACTTTTTGGGACACTTTTACTTTGATGGGACGCTTGTACTATTTTTGGGACGCATATGGGACACATAAAAGCTCATGGGACGCATTAATGCTCGTGGGACGCATGTCCTAAATTAGAGCCTTTTATTCTTTTATTATTCTTATTTCATCAACAGATTTTGAAAGGAGTTTTTCGATTTACAAGAATGTTTTGGCTGAGAATACATAGAATTTTACTACAGAAAAATTAGAAAAATTCTTAATTTGCATTATGGAAGGCAAAATTGAATTATTTTATTGTTAAATAAAATTTTTTAAGAAGCTATTTTCGCTATTTCTAGTGTATATTGCAACTTTTGGCGCTTATTTTAGACATTTTCTTGACATATATGCGCATATTTGGGATTTTTTATGGATATTTTGCCGCTCCATTTCATAATTTTAAATGTATGTATAAAGTGCATATGCACTATTTATTCAAAATATGTAATATTCTTATAGACATCTTTATGTATATAAAAAATCATTTATTTACTTAAAAATATTCATTTTTACTAAATATAATTTTATCTCTCTTTAATAAATAAATAAATTTAGATAAATGATATTTTTATTATTTATTTTATTTTATTTAAAACAATTAAATGCTTCGTCAGAAATTTTTTTAAAAATTGATGACGATTGGAGTAATGATGCAATTTTTAAATATTTACTTGAAGTAGAGGATCCAACAAAATTATTTAAATGTAAATTAGTCTATAAAGAAGAAAGTATTGAGGGAATACATGTTACTGAAGATTCTTTTGAATTTAAAAATATTCAATGGAATTTATTAACCCAGACAGAAATAGCTAGTTCAAGTAGCTCTTCTATTTTACCTCAAAATGAAATTTTAGAAAATTTTTATTTTGAAATAGAATTGAGTAAATTTAAAGGTGCAGAATATCACCAAGTAAATATTTTTTAATAAATTTGAATTAATTATTGAAAAAAAGGTAATTAATTCTGGAAGTATCATAATAAGAGACAAATAAAAGTTTAGCGCCGCGTAGGCACTAATCTTCAAGCATTTAGTACTAGACATAATAATATTTGTTAATAATTATTACGTAATAATAATTATGTAATAATTGCCACCTCACAAAAGATTGATTGAGCCATCGATGCGCTGCTCTCACCCTCTCTTTTAATTGGTCTTATTTTTATTATTTATTTAAACAATTAAATAAACATTTTAAATGCTTTACATGCAGCTTGATATCTTTTCTTCCTTACATAGTTAAATTTTTTAAAAAGATTATATGTATTTAATTATCTGTATTCCCCTTATCAACTTAGAAAGTCTCGATACTTTCTCCAAAAAGAGATTAATAAAAAAATATATAATTTGAATATTTTATAATTAACTAATTAATTTTTAAAAGGTAATTAAAAGACGTTTGGATATTTGTGAAAGAAATGGAAATAAATTTAATATTTCAATTTTGCCAAACAAAATTATTCAAAAATTAAAGGAAAATAATTCGAATATTTTTAATTTAAATTTTAAAAATGAATTTGAAATTAATAAAAATGAAATTAAAGAAATAAATAAATTTAATAAATTAATTGAAGAATTATTTAAAGAAAATAAATGGAAAATTTATTATTTAAATTTAAAAAATTTGGATTTGTTAAAAAATAAAAAAGAAAAATCTTTTGAAGAAAAATTAGAAATTAAATTAATTTTAAATGAAATTAATTTATTTAATGAAAAATTGAAAGGTAAAATAAATATTAATTGTATAAATTAAATATATATACCGTATTTACTGAAATAATTACCCGGGGTACTTATTGTTTCGATCTCTCGCTGGAGGGGGTAATTAATAGGGAGTGGGTAATTATTTGAGAGAGGGTAATTATTTGAGTAAATACGGTATTTAAATTAAGGCGAGCAATTATCAAATGAAAATAACATCGTCAGAAAACAGGTAATATTTCTTGAAATTTTAGTTAAAATGTTAAGAATCTGATAATAGGCTAAAATAAAGACTCCCCGCATGACACACATCCGCAAAAGGTTCTTAATTGCTGCATTCTGCTCCTTTACCTCACATTATTATTCTTTTCCGTTTAGGTTATCAAATGATTGACAGCTAGGTATAATTTCTGTAATCATTCAAATAATACCTTTTACATGTTCAAAAAATAATTTGTAAAAAAGGGCCTAGATAAGGCAGATCTCTAATAAGTGACTAGTTTACATTGGGTTTAAACAACTAGACTAATTTGTAAGAACATAAAACAGTTATCCAACAAGAATTTTCAACTGCCTTTTGCGGACTCGCTGGGCCATTTTTTAAAATGGCCCAGCGAGTTGGCCATTTACTTAAGATTATTTTAATTTATTAAATATAAATAATTAAGAATCTTCAAATCAAAAAAGAATATTTAAATATAAATGCCAAATATACACGAGAAATGGGAAGTTTTATTTTATTAAATAATTATTATTTTAATTTTAGATTGAAGAGATTACTGAAATTGCTAAAGATTCAATAGAAAACGGCGGAATTAAACTACAAAAAAATGAAGCCTCAAAATATCTGAAAAAAATTTCCGATTTTTCAGAAATATATAACATTAGTTATAATAGTGTTAAAGTAATTTATATTTTTTATTTTAATAATTTAATGCATATTTATTAATTTAGGTTTATTATTATGTAAGTTTAAAAAGTTTAAAATATTTAAATTTAATTTCTTTAATAATTAGTAGAGTTGTACCCCGACCCCGTACCCCGAACCCCGACCCCGTTCCCGAACGATTTTTTCACGATTCTCCCCGACCCGAACCCCGCCCCGAAAAAAAGTGAAAACCCCGTTCCCCGGCCGAAAAATTTTCGGGGTTTCGGGGTTTTATATACCCAAAAAAATGCCATTTTTGGGAGAAATTAATGAAGAAAATTAAAAAAAATTTCTCCCAAAATTACATTGCCTTTAATATTTTTGAAAGAAAAGTGAATAAAATATTAAAATTCTCTTCCCTTACGGTAAGAGACTTGTGGTTGAGTGGCTTAGTTTTTGGTTTTAGCCTACATTTTCATTAATATGGGATTGTGTTCGGATCCAGATAAGCATAACGCGTTAGTTTTGTATTTTTCTTTACAAAAACAAGAGTTTAATTTTAATTTTAAAATGTTAATCTTATTTTTTAATATTATCAACTATAAAAAACAATGCAAAGATTTTTTGTTTAGTTTTTTGACACGAAAATTTCAAAAATTTTCGTGTGCAGCGCTATAAAACAAAGAAATCCGGCTTTATGACCTAAAAAATTTTATAATTTTCGCCTGCGGCTCTGAAAATGTAAGAAATCTTCCTTCCGGCCTTCCAAAATTCCCAAAATTTTCGCCTGCGGCGGTGAAAAAGGATATAAACTGAGTAATGAAGATTAAGAGGGATATCAAGGATCCCCTGATACGTCCATATCCACTTATATCCCTCTCAATTTCTTCATATGCCTCTCTCATCATCCCTTAAAATTACTGATACAGTTAATCGCTCCTTAATTCCTCCAAATCCTCTTATATCCGCAGATATACACCTTAATGCCTTCAAATCCCATTTAATCCCTAAAAACCTCTTATATAATCTCTAATTCCTCCATCTCCCCCTTAATTTCTGAATAAATTAACGAAAATAGACCGAAAACTGCTTATTTTTGAGCATTTTTTTTTTTAAATTTTTCCAGGAAATCCCCGTACCCCGACCCGAACCCCGACCATATTTTGCTCCCCCGACCCGAACCCCGCCCCGAAACAATTCGAAAACCCCGTACCCCGACATACCCGCCCCCGAGCGTTCGGGGTACAACCCTAATAATTAGTAAATAAAAACAAAATATAGACTATTTTAAGCTCCGAAAAGTTTATTTTAATAGTAGAATAATATTAGCATTTTTATTCTTAATAATTAAAAGAGTAATTAACATTTAAAAAATAAAATTTAATAAAAATATGTAGAAAATCCGCAATAATTTAATTGCTGAGCAAGAAAAAGTCAACAAGGAAACACTACAAAAAGAATTAAGCGAGGGAAAGTCGAAACAGAAAATTGAAGAAATTAATGGAAATGTATGTATAAAGAAAAGTTTTAATTTAAAATTTCTCTGATTATTCCTTTTTTATCCACATAAAATTTCCTCTAATGTTGGGGGAAGACCTATTATGGGGAAAACCTATCCTAGTATATTAATTTAAAAACACAATTAAAATATTAATTAATTCATTAAAATTATTGGGACTACAGATTAAAAGGCTTTAATTACTGATAATTTATAACATTAATTAAGAGTACTCAAACCAAAAAAAGAAAAAGGAAAGAAGAATATACCCTTGAAATGGTAAATTTAAATTTAAAAAAATATTTTTTAAAATTTAAATTTCAATAGATAAAGGAAATTTATAACATAGCTAAAGAATATGAATATCTTGCAAACAGTGACAACCTTTCAAGTGAGGAGATGAGCAATATATTTGCTGATAAAATTAGTGAATTTTCGGAAAAATATTTAACTGATATTGAAACAGCGAAGGTATTTATTTTAATTAAAAAATAAATAAATATTTTATTTTATATTTTAGGAACATTTTAATGTAAGTTTAATTTTTATTTTAAATATTATAACTCAACCATTTTTTCCGGAGTACACAAAATTAATCACACCATAATAGGGTCCCATTCTAACTTATAGACTAATAGGGTCTTAATACTATTTATCATCTTAATATTTAAAAAATAGGAAGCTCGAGAAATGATAAAAGGATTTGAAATAAATGAAAAAGAGGAATCAAGTGAAGAAAGTGAACCCGAAATGGAAGAAGTAATTTTTAAGGGAAAAGGAAAGAAAAATATTAAAATGAAAAATATTTCAAATTTTGTTGGTGAATCTAGTAAAGGAAATAAAGGAAAAAATATTAAACAAAAAGGGAAGCAAAAATTAAAAAAACCTAAAAGAGAATATGATTATTCAAAAAATGATTTTATAGCTATCTAAAAACTTGGTGATGTAGTAACTATGTATTGTGTTCAAAAATAGGTAGGGTTGTCGAAGGGCTGTCAGACTTTAAAAAATTGATATTTGATCAAATATACGTATTTGATTTTGGAATTTGTCCGGGCTCTAGTAGTAGGGGCGGGCTTAACAGGAGAATTTAATAGAAACGACAACCCTATTCAGAAGATAATTGAAAGATATTTTTTTAAATATATCTAAACAAAAGCTAGAAATTATTATTTAAGTAAAGTGCAAGAAATCTAAAAATTGAGCATTTTATCAGTCAAGAGAGTTAATTCATTATGTAGTTCTAGAATAACAAGTAAAAAATTATTATAGGATGCTATCTAAAAAAATTTTCGGGATGTAGTAATTATTATGTTCAAAAATGGGTAGGGTTGTTGAAGGGTTGTCAGACTTTAAAAAATTGATATTTGATCAAATATGTATTTTATTCTGGCATTTGGCCAGGCTCTAGTAGTAGGGGTGGGCTCAACAGAAGGATTTAATAGAAACGACAACCCTATTCAGAAGATAATTAAAAAATATTTTTAAAAAAATATCTAAACGAAAGCTAGAAATTACAGGGTGACATAAAAGAAACTGCACACCTTATTTTTGGCATAACTTTGTTCAAATGAAAGATATTTCGTTCAGATAAAGCTTAAATGATAGAGAAATAAATAAGGAACAAAAATTGCAAAGAATTTTTGAAGTGCCTCATCCTTATTTGGATAAAGAGTAAAAGGCGCGAAGAAAAATATTAAGGAGAAGTTCGCAAGTCGGAAAATTTTTTTTCAGAGAATAAATTTTTTATGAACTGATCATGTCAAAATTACGAAAATGGCATATTTTGGTGAAAAAAGTCTCCTCTTTCTAATCCACTTGATACTTATTCCTAAAACATTTTTTCTTTCATGATATAGTTTGTTATTTGCGAAATGGTCAAAATCCCATGATTTTCGTGAGTCCTGAGGGTTTTCGTGAATTTACCGGAAATCCTTTGAGGTGTTTTACAGCCTTGGATCCGAAGCCACTTTTGGCGTATGGAAGGGATCTTTCATCAGAATTCTTCCTCTTCTAATAAGACCTTTGATGTGCAGGGTTAGTGTGCAGGCAATTTACCCGGTTTTAACCCATCTCAAATAATGCCACCGTACTCATCGGATTTGAATTCGTTAGATTGAATTTTTATTCTGATTTGAAGGGAAGGGTCTGTTCTTAATAAAACAGAAGTTTTGATTCGCTTCGGCAACCACTCGCCCAGGAATGGGAGAAAATCCCAACCATGTAGGTGCGAACTTTTGCCCAAAATTTTTCCAAGCGCCTTGAATTCTGTATCAGAGCACAGGATGGGTATTTCGAAATTTCTTAATTATATTTGTTCCCCAGTCATTTTTCTATTATTTAAGCCTTATTTGAACTCATTACCTTCAATTTGAATAAAGTTATGCCAAAAACAAAGTGTGCAGTTTCTTTTATGTCACCCTGTATTATATAAGTAAAATGTAAAATCATGATTTCTTACAAGAAATCTAAAAATTAAGTATTTTATCAGTCAAGAGAAGTTAATTCATAGTTCTAGACCAACAAGTAAAAAATTATTATAGGATGCCTTAAAAATTTTAAGGATTTTATAAGCCAATAATAACTGGAAAATTTTAAAATTTGAAAGAACAAAACCTGATAAAATTAAATAAAAATTTGTTCTATGCTGGAATGTAAAACGAGGAAACTAAAGTCAACTTTACGATTAATAAAAGGCTTATTTTCTGATAGTTTTATGATAAAAAATGTTAATTTTATATTGAACTGATAAATATTAAATGTTTATAGTTCATTAAATTATATATCAATTAACATTCTAATTTAACGTATCTTGATTATATTTGTTCCCCATGCCAAGACAAAAATAAAATCATAATTTAAAAAAATTTTATACATAAATTCCAAAAATAATTTAAAATTATAACCTAATTATTCGAATTATGACAATAAAATGACAAGATATAGCATTTATTTTATATAGGACGATCATTCTAGAAAAACACAATGTAATATTTACAAACAAATTTAGGGGCACGACAAGTTAAATTTAAAAATTTCTAATTAAAATTTTAAAATTGAAATTATCGTGTATAAATGATAAAAAAAGAATAGAAGTGAAATAAAAAAAAATAAGCAAAAAGGCATTTATAAAAAATTAAAATAGTTGAAAAATTTAAATTTAAGATTGAACTTAATTACAGTTTAAATCGTTAAATGCCCTTTCTTCAATATATAAAAATATGTATATATTTATGGAGAAACCCATTTTTTCTAATTTTATTTAAGACAAGCTCTTATATTTTTAAAAGTCTATTTATAAGCTACAAACTCAACTTCTAAACGTTCTTTCCATAATTTGTTGCAAATTGGGAGCACTTAAAGTCCTAAAATAAAATTTAATTTTTCGTCTAAAAATTCTTTCAAATTACCTGCAAAGCAAATAATTTCCCCCTCCGGGATCTGATTCTGTTAAAAGTTGTTTATCTCCATTTAACATCCTCAATCCATTTTCTCCCGAATATTCTGCTGTATCAAAACAAATTGTTGGCCGAGAAGAAATTGAAAGAGCAGCAGAACTACTTGCAAAACCCTCATCTTGTTGTTGATTATTTGAATAAATTTGTGAAGTACTCGGTTGTTCTGAAATATACATTGATGTACGGGAATGAAGTAAAGAACCGCCACAATTTGAATGACAATGATGACGTTTATGGTGTTGCTGTTGTTGTTGCATTTCTAAAAATTTGTTAAATTTTGTTTTAATCTCTTCCCAGTTATAATAAAAATTCTGGAGAAATCCAACACTAATTTTTTAAAAGCCCCTATTATTCTCTCCCAATCTAGTAAATAATTTCATTTCTCACCATCATTAGTCAAAACTTCAACAACAATTCTGTTCCTAGCCCCATTATTATGTGCATCTTTGTAAATTTCAGAATTGAATAAATCAGGATGGGAAATTGAAGAAACACGAGATAATGAATTAGTTAGCCAAGAATCTGCTGTCGAACGGCTATTAACAGACCCAAAACTGGCATCGAATGGACGGCCATAACCTCCACGGAAATATTCAATACAAGCAGCACTAAAAATTAAATTATTTTTAAGGGCAAATTAAAAATGCACCGAGAAGCCGGAATAACTCGATTGTCAATAATATAATGTCGTTCCAATAATTTTTTACAAGGTAGTTTTGAATGTATTCTTTTTGTTTCTAAAGAGAAAAATATTTTTTTTTAATTTAAAATCTGTGGAAATTATTTAAGAAAATTAAAGGCACAACACGTTTTTAGCAAGATTTTACAGCAATTTTGGACGTGAATTTTATAAATGCAATTTTAAGAAAAACCAAAAATTAAAGCAAAGTATGCAAGCAAGTTTGGCCGATATAGGCACAAAATTTGAAATGTAAAACTTAATTTCATGTAAAAATCAAGTCAACAATAAATTAAAATAAAATTGGAGATAATGAATTAGCAAAGAATTTTAGCTTCATCATTTCCTTATTAAGATATCCAAGCACCTTAAGGTAAAATAAAGGAAAACAAACACAAAGAAACAAAACAAAAAGAAAATTAAAAAGCATCCTAAATAACTAAAAATATAAAAAAGCAAGGCTCTAGAATTTTATAGAAAAAACGCGTTCCTCCACAAAAGCAAATAAAAAAATTTTTTACTAAATTATTTAAATTTGTCACTACTTTTTTGATGTCCTTTCCTTCGGCGTTGTCTGCTACTGTTTTCACTTTCAAGTATTTCCCCTTTCTCCAAATCAAGTACACAAGGACAGCATTTTGCAAGTGGAGCATGAGACCTTTCATTTGGCGGTAAAACAAGAAAAAGAGAAATTTGAACACAAGCAAGTAAAATTCCCGCGCTATTTGGGATCTAAAAATTAATTTTTAAAAAAAAGATAAAAACTAATAAATTTAAGAGGATCAAAAGGATATTAAAAGAAAAACTTACAATAACATAAATATCCCTAACATAAATTCCATATAAACACCATTGGGAAGAAACAAGTAAATTAGCAATACAGAGGGGCAATGGAAGTGTTGAACAACTACGATTCCTCAAAACAACATTCTAAGAAAATTTTTTTTTAATTTAAATGGGATCAAATGTCATCTTTTAAAGACTAACCAATCCAGCCAAAGGAGCACCAAAATTTAAAATATTAAAAGTCATAGAAACAAAGCCGAGAGGCTGTAACGATTCTAATTTGTAAACATCAACTAATCCAAGCATTATTACAATTATTGAAAATACTATTAACTAAAAAGGATTTTTAAAAATTATTTTTTAATTAAAAAAAAAGACTCGCCATTTGAATAACAAAATTTGTTTTTGGCTGGGAATAATAAAAATAAAACATCAAATAGAAAATCATTAAAGTAACACCAACAACATTTACTGTAATCATTGTAAGGTCTGATTTTAAAAAGCCGTAACGAAGCCAAAATGAACCTCTAAAATTTCGATAAATTTAAAATTAAATTAAAGGAAAAAAAGAATAGGTAAAAATAGAGATGGAGGGAAAGTGTTAGAAATTTATATTTGAGTTAGAAGACATCGCAAATCCCAATTCCTTCTAGGATTGATTTTAAAAGAAGAGTTGGAGAGCTCAAATTTTGGCTCAAGTATAAAATTATTAAACAAAAATTTACCCAAGAAATCCCATTAAAAAGGGAAATCCACTGATATCTTTAGCACTATTCCGACGATAAATTTGTATACATATTGGGCTAAATTTAAAAATAAAAAGTTAAAAATTAAAACCAAATTTACATTCCACAAAAGAAAAGAGAGATTGTAGTAATTATGGCAGAAATTGAAAGAAAAGTTAAAGGTGAAATTGGTTCCTCGAGCATTCTAAAAAATAATTTTTTTATATTTTTTTTGAAAAATAAATTTTTTTTTAAATTAGTAATATTTTTAAATAAAGTTTTTAATTAAAAATATTAAAATAATTTTAAGGAAGCTTAATTAAAGGAGAGAAAACAATACATAAAAATTACATTCCAAAAACATTAATTATTGCCTACAAGCCTTAAAAGATCCTACAAAAAATCCTAAAAAATAATTTAAAAGTAATCAAATCCTATAGCTATATAAAAATAAATTTTATTAGATCATTTCAATCAATCAAAAAAAATCACAAAATAATCCCATACACACAATCATATACACAAAGAACAGCGTCAGAATATCCTAATAAATAGGGAGTGTAATTATATGGATATAAAATCGAAAAATATGGACATAAAATATGGATATAAAATCCTTAAATATGGATATAAATATATAAATAAACAGTGAATATAGATATAAAATCCCGAAATATGGACCAAAATATAATAAATATATATTTTAAAAATCATTATTTTATGTATGTAGATAACAATAATTTTGCCTTTATCCTTGCATATTAAGAGCATTCTAAAGAATTTTATGGATTTAAAAATTCAGTTAAAATTTTTTTGAAAATAAATTTTTGAGAAAAATTATTGAAAATATTTTTTGACCAGAAATTTCCAAAATTTTGAAAATTTTCGCAAATTTTTATTAAAATTTACTAAAAAATGACCAAATATGGACCAAAATATGCAAAAATGAGAAATATTGGTAAAAATATGGATATAAAGGCTAACTATGGAAAAATATGGAAAATATGGATTTTAAAGACCATTCTAGAACCCTAAAAAATGCACAAAAACATGTTTTTGTGCATTTCACATTCATAGGAATTAAAGAAAAAAATATGGATTTCCATATAATTACACGCCCTACTAATAAAGAGTGTAAAGATACTTTTTTGGCTTGGATTTAAATAAGAGTTAAAAGGAAAAGTACAAAAAAACTCTCAAATACAAGCAAGAAAAATTTTTTTGAGAAAATCCGAGCCTTGCTAGATAAGTAAAATGAGCAAAATTTAAAATAAATGATCCAAAAGATTTAAAATTTAAAAATAAAATTTTTTTTAGACATCCTTGAAAGGAACACACAAACCCACCGCTCAAGGAATCCATTTGAAATTGTGAAGAACATAATGATGAAACTTCTTTATTTTATAGTTAATAATCTTCTTTTAGTGCCAACAATTTAGAGATTCTTCTTTTGTTTATGGCCTTTTTCGAAAAAAAAGTCGATCAGTGTCTGAAGAGAAGAAAAACAAAGAGAAAAAAAAATAAATTAGCTATAATATTTATTTACAATTCTAAAAGAAAATTGTTGAAAGAAATTAAGGTAATTTAAAAAAAAGAAATATTTTGGTTCTTTTTTCTTGTAAATTAAATAGGGGGGGGGGGATATTTTATTGATAAATTTTGAGAGAGCTAATAAATAAAAATAATATACTTAATTCAGTTGTTCTTGTTAATTTATATCTCATTGTTAAAAAAATGTGAGGTCTTTCTTTCAAAATGTTCTTTCGAAAATTGGGGCAAAAATATTAAAATTAAAAAATAGTAAAAAAGTAATTTAATATTTATTTACTATTTAGTGAAACTGAGAGAAATAAACAATTATATTCACGTGAAAGAGTAAATATAAACGAAATGAGAAATAGCCAAAATAATAATCAGAGATCGTCGAGAAAAAGAAGTAATTAAAAAAAATATTAAAATACTGCCAAAAAATTATTAATCAGAATGCCAATATTTAATTAATTAAATAGACAAATTATCTTAAAGATTTTAAAAATAAAATTGAAAATAATTAAAATTATAAAGGGAAAGGAAAGACATTAAATTGTTAGTTTCTAGTTGTAAAAATGAAATCAATTAAATAATTTTTGAAGAAATTCTTTAAAAGAATTATTGATAAATTTAAAATAAATCAATAAAAAATACCCAAAAAATAAGGAAAAATTAAAATATTTTTTAAAGGTAAAAACAAGTTTATGATAATAAAAAAGCATGCTGCGCATGAACAATTTTTTATGTTGAAAGCATTATTGTTATATAGACAAGTAAATAAAAAGACGGAAATAAATCAATAGTAACAATTTTAGTCAGCTGCTTTTGAAATAAATAGACTAAATTGAAGTGAGAAGAGAAAAAAAGAAGAAGAAATATAGTAGAAAGTACACACAATTTATGACAAAATAATATTTTTCTGAAAAATTAAGACTTTGTTTGAATTTGAAGGAGACAAGCCTTAGGGTTCCATCCTTAGAACTCAACCCTATGACCAGCTTCAATTTAAAAAATTGCATTATCTTTTGTGGGGTGACCTCTAAGTAGTTACCTCTAAGGTTACTCAGTTTATACTATTATTAAACTAAACGTGTTAAACTAATATTATTTTAGGCCTATTCTAAAATTTCTATTTTTTAAATTTTGTTTTTTTCCAATTTAAAAATAAAAATAACTAAAAAAACTTCTTTAAAAATAATTTACTTCTCTAATTAAAATAATTTATAATAATGAGAAAAATTATCTCAAAATAAATTTATTTTCATCGATCATTCTATTTAAATTTAAAATTAATTCCAAAGAAGATCCTGATTTGTTTGATCATTTCCTATCTCAAAAAAATTTTAAAAGTCCAAAAAAGTTTTTAAAATTTTTTATTTCTTAATTCTTAAAAACACTAAGCACAAAAAAAACACAAACATTTACATTATTTTTCTTTATCAAAAACATTGCAAAATTAAATAAAAGCAATCCTTACTGCATTAAAGGATTAATAAAAAGCCCAAAAAATTTATTATGAAAATATAATATTTCCTTTGCCCTTCTGAAAATTCGGTGCCTTTAATTTTTGTTTTAAACAAGACTTTATTTTGTAAATTTTACGGAATTATTTTTAGAATAAAAATTTAACTAAAGCAAATCACATTTCAGAATGCATGTACATATTTCTCAAACAAAAAATCAGAAAATATAAAAACAACATTTATGCACCAGAGATAGGACCGTGAACAAAAATCTCGGCTACAAAATTCGGCTCTACTCCAGTTTATGCGTCCAATCGACTTTTATGCGTCCAATGAAAGTTTATGCGTCCAATAAAAAGAAAATTGGATTTTTCTTGGTATTGCAAAGTTGGAGTATTGCTCCACAACATTTCTTCATGTTCGGGACCTACGCCCACAGGGTCTGGGACCATTCCCTACCCAATCCCTCGAAATTTCTTAAAGTTATAGCCGATTTTTTTAAATTTCAGAAAAACGATTATAACTGACAGAAATTTCGAGGGGTAGGGTAAGGAATGGTCCCAGACCCAGTGGGCGTAGGTCCGGAACATGAACTAATGTTTTGGACCCATACCCCAACTTTGCAATTCTAAGAAAAATCCAATTTTCTTTTTATTGGACGCATAAACTTTCATTGGACGCATAAAAGTCGATTGGACGCATAAAAGTCGATTGGACGCACAAACTGGAGTAGAGCCCAAAATTCACCTACAACCCTTTCCAGTCCTGTCTCTAGTATTTACATTCCAGAAGTCAAACTTTTAATTTAAAAAAACTTTTAAATTTTTTCTTTACCTTAACAATTCATTATCCCCCATTTCAATATCGGGAGCCTCCAAAACCTCAAAATTTTCTGATTCTTTCTGTTGCATTAATATTTTAATTAAAGATGGAATTTGTTCTGTTGTTGTTTTAATTGATGAATTCATTATTTAATTTTTAATATTTATAAATTAATTTTTAATAAATTTTTGTCACTCAGCAGAATACATATATGTAAATTTGTAATGAAAATTGCTTAAAAATATTTTAATATTTTAAAAATTATTTCAAATAAAAAAAGGAAAAATTCTTAAAAATATTCATATTCAATATTTCATAAAGACAAAATTAGTTATAATTATTTAATTTTATTCTTTAGCTAAAATAATTAACTACATATTAATATATAATTTACAGAATTATTTTGATGATTAAAAATGGCCTTTCATTTATTTACCCTTCAATAAATGGTTAATAATAATAAATTATTAAGGAAATAATAAATAGAAAAATATAATTAAACAAAAAAATAATAGAAAAAGCGCAAGTTGGATTAAGGAAGACATTTTTAAAAAAACATATTTAATATTCTAAATAACAAAATATAAAAAATATCTTACCTAATTTAATATTTAAAAGAAACTTTATATAAAAATAAAATAATTAAAAATAAAAAACCGCAAAAATGTTTGGATTTAAAATTCATGATAATAATTAATGTTCCTTAAAAAAATAAAAATAATGTCGACTCTATCCGTTGTCGTAAATATTATTTATTTTTTAATAATTATAGTCAGCTGTCATAATAATTTTAAATATTTTTTTGAAAAATATTTTTAAAAAATAAATCTACAAAAATAAGTAAAAATTTTTAAATATTACGATAAAAAAGTATTTTTAAAAAAGTTTTAATTAAACAAAAGATTTTCATAAAATAATTAGTATAGTGGAACGAAAAAAATGTGGAAATAGACAAGAACGCTTTATTTTAGAGCGTTGCACAAAAAAACTTTTTTTTTGTAAAAATGTGAAAAATTACCCGCAATTTACTTCATGATATATTAAAAATATCATTAAGTAACTAAAATTTTTTGTAATAATTTTTTGTAAAAAATTGAAGTAAAAATTTTATTTTGAAGAAAAAAAAAATAAATAAAAAATTTAAAATTATTTCAATACAAAAACAATTTATATATTTAACGATAAATAGTAAATATTTTTGCCATATATAGAAATACACAGAAATGCCAGACAATTGTTTTTGTCAATATTTTTTGCCATTTTTATTTTTATTTGTTATGGATTACATATCCAAGTAAACAATATATATGTAAATAATCTTTACAATCTCAATTCAGATAGTAGGTTAGGTGAAAAATTACATTTTAGAGAACAGAACGGGATTTAGCA